AGATTAAAACAACCCTAAGTATAGTAACATTTATGTTTAGGTTATTTCGGTTGGTTCGGTTCCGGTCTTTTTTCACAATCCTTCATATAAACCTTTTGGGCACTTAAGTTGTTTGGTTGTTATGCGTTTACGCTCGGTAAATTAGGAACTGTTTCAGTGCGATTATATTATGTGAGAAAAGGTAGTGACAGTTGATTTTCAGGGTTCTTACTTTACACGTTCTGGCTTAATTAAATCGTCAAAACCAGCCGCAAAGAGTACGACGAATACAGTAGAGGAGAGGAGAGAGTCATTTTGTGTTATAAAAGATAAAAGAAGTATAACATGATTTTCTAAAAGATGACAGAAATTGTAAATTGGTGCATAACTGCGTAGGAATCTTTTACAATAAATGGGCGCAGTGGAATAGTTTTCAGGAAGAAGCGTTCCATTATGAAACTTTACCCAGTAGCATATTTAATTAAATTAAATGCCTTTACATCATGTTAATCTTGAATGCGGTTTCAGCGCTACATTCAAATTCATTTGCTGAAAAGTTACTGCTGTATAACATAATACCATTGAATAATAAATCTGATTTATTATTCAATGATAATACCATAAAACTGAATTACAAGTTATTAATAGTGTCGTTCGGAGAGGAACAAATTTAGGGATTTCTCTTATATTGAAACGTATCTGTTGAACGTTGAGAATGGTATAAAACAGAAATCACATGAGTGGATGAGTTTTTCTTGGAGGTATCGCTTGGAGGCACGAAGTTTGTACATTTCTCAAGTTTCCACATTAGAGAGCAGCTGTCTCATTTCTTGCCGCAGATTGATCCCAGACAAATGAATTGTTTAAATTAAACCATGAGAAATATGTACGCTAGGCTCCTATCTATAAGGCGTTGTTGGTTTTGTGGTTAACGGTAGCAATGATTAAAGGCGTTTTTATAAGAAACATGAAGTGTTTTGCTGATAAGGGTCACATAAAACAACTATACATCAATGACATGTAAAGTGAGTTTCGAGTTGGGGTGAGAAAACGATGATACTTGCAGAAAATGTAAAATGAAAGCATTAATGCGGAACGAGATAACAAAAAGGTCACACAAATAAAAATTATGCCCAGTTTTACGATCAGGAACAGAGTTCGACATCAACTTAAGGCATGGAACTCTACTTTTTCAAAACAAAAATTGTATTATTTCTGCTTCATCTTGTGTTTATATTCATATTTTGATTACTTTTCTACAACATTATAACTATAAGTATACTACTACTACTATAATTACTGCTTTATACTATTGTATAGTATTAGTATTGCTTTTTGCTCAATCAAATTTTTGTTAGTCTCATACCTTATTAAATAGATTGAAGATATGAGTGGGGGTGGCTTGACCTTTAAGTACGAAGAAGAAGAGATAAACGTGGCTCTTTGCGGGTCGATTAAAAGAAAAATTAAATTTAATCTCCTCCAACAAATTTTTTACGTATTACGTGTAACAGCTTTCCTTTTAATGCTCTACGGTTGTGCATTAAATATGACAGGTTTTTGCACCTATAGGGGTGTTGAAATTAAGGTACCAAAAGATTAATATTCTTCCCGACTGGCTATAATACAATATACATAATAAACAAGTTAAAAAATAATCGTAAACGATTTACATAAAGCGCATTTCCACTTGCATTCATTTCCCATTTGTAAGATGCAACTTCTGTTAAAATCGTAAAAATCCGCCCACAAATATGAAAGATAGCGTTGCACATGGGCAATCCATTGTTGACGTGCTACTTCAATTTCAGTTTATGCGAAGAATTTCATTTCAATGCTTTTCTAAATAAGAAAGTTGGAACTGCGCATGCGCAAACCTAAATTTTAAAACTAATGTTAGATTTTCCTTTGTTCCAAGCGCCTAAGTATCAAATTTCACTTAAATAGTTCCATAGATAAAAAAGTTGGCACTGCGCATGCGCAAAATAAAATTTTGAAACTAGCGCTAGATTTTCCTTTATTCCAAGTGCCTATGTATCACATTTCATTTAAATTCTTCCATAAATAAAAAAGTTGGCACTGCGCATGCGCAAAGCCAAATTTTGAAACTGGCGTTTGATTTTCCTTTATCCCAAGTGCCTATGTATCAAATTTCGTTTAAATTCTTCCATAAATAAAAAAGTTGGCACTGCGCATGCGCAAAACCAAATTTTGAAATTGGCGTTTGATTTTCCTTTATTCCAAGTGCCTATGTATCAAATTTCATTCAAATACTTTTATAAGTAAACAAGTTTGCAATTCGGTTTATAAATGGTCGAGATGCGAAAAGGGCACTGTGAATTTTGAATCGATTCGATTCAACTTTTGGCATTGCGTATTATATGGCTAAATCTATGCCCATATTGAATTTCATGCAATTCAGTTCATAACTAACGGAGATGTAAAAGCGATCGAACATTTCTAAACAAAGTTATCGTTCACACGGACAGATAGATGGACAGACAGACAAAGGAACAGACGGACAGACCAACCGGCAGGCGACAGATAGCAATGCAAAATTATAAACGATCTCTAGGATCGTTAATAAACGGCAAAAGTGTAAAATTATGGAACATGTAAAAAACGGTTTTTTGTTTTTTTTACAATAACTTTTTTTGTAAGCGGTGCAGAAAAAATTCCTTCCTTGGTACAAGACTCGACACCATAACGAACCAAATAGCGAAAAAAGTAGAACAATAGCTCTTAAGATAAAGAACTAGTAGCATCGCAAAACGAGTGGACGGACGGACGGACGAACGGACGGACAAAGTGGCCACAATAGCGCATTTTTTTTTTATTTTTGTGGAAATGCGCTAAAAATACGCTTCGTGACACAAACAAATACATTTACTGCGAATAACAAATGGTACACTCATTTATCTAAATCGCTTAAATTCAATGAAATAAACTGGACAAATAAAAATTCCTAAATAAATGCGTTCATAAGCTATAAATTTATGTAGGTACTAAATACCGCCATCCATTTGCTAATTGATTGATCCTTTTCGGGATAACCAAATTTTATGATATATATCAACCGGACATTATGCTACAAAAATCCTCTGAAAGATCAATCAATTATTTTTTTATAGACAAACATTAACATTTACGAATGTATTAGACGATTCTTCGGAGATAGAGCTATTTCTTATGGACCCTTTGCGCTGAAGATGGCAGAATTAAGTTTAGCCTACAGAAAACAGCAAATTGGATCTACGGCAATTCGGGATCGTTTAAATTTCAGTATTCCTTATCTGCTACAGTGCTACAGATGAGGTAACTGCTTTGATGGCAAATCCTTTTTAAAATTTAATTTCCGTAATCCAACTTTAGAGTTTAACACTTTTCAGATTTGTATACTGGCCCGCTTAATTAACGAACGCCTTTGATCTATCGCGAAAGAATTTATTTGTTTCCGCTATGTAACACGCTCAATTCGCGTAAAATTCGATCCCGGTTTTAGCCCAAATAATACTTTTTACTTATTTATTATCCCTCTCTTGTTCTGAGCCATCAACAGACTTGCCCCTAATTACAGAGTGACCCACATAATGCTTTTTAGAAGGGCCCTTCAGAAGGTCCTTAAGTTGTTCTATACTACTCCGCGGTATTTACCTTACGAATTAGGAAAATTAAGTCGGAGTAGCCGGCAGAGTGCTCGTAACTGATCTAAGGAAATTTCCATCTCTGCCACAGATGAAAAATTCTTACCTCAGCCTAGGTTCGAGCACTCGACCTCCGGCTATGTAGCCCAAAAAAGATTTGACTTTTATTTGATCGCAATTAATTACTCTTTTTTTAACCGTAAATCTACGTTCTTGGGAAGAAAAACTCACGTAATAGGGGCTACTCCTATTTATTTGTTTAACATGCGTCTACTAGTGTCTACTACTAGTAACTAAAGCTTTCCTTAAGTTCGAACGCCCCGAAAAATATTGCTATGGACTACTGACGCCCATAACTGACACTCACAGCAGAACACACAAATTCATAATTCGTATTCGGAATCCAGACGGCTCATATTCAATAGCACTGATCCATGAACTCGTTGAAATCGATTGGCGAAGGTTCGACATCGCTATCCCTTTTCGTTCTCGAGACGAGGAACAGACGGACAGACAGACGGACAAAACCATCAAATAAGGGGAATTTATTTTTCTTTCGAAAAATTTGCTTGAAAATGGATGAAACTGACAAATTAATATCCCATGACATTCAAAATGATGAAATATAAAATATTATGAGTCTCGCGATAAAACGCAAATGAACATAAAATCACCCCGTTACTGCTCAATTATTACTAAAGGCCACTTCTTGGGCAAGTGTACAGGGAATTTGTGTAATAAAACACCCGTTTTCCACCCTGAATACCCGGAGTACATTTGTGAAGTCGATCAGCATTGCTGAACACTCGGTATCTAGAAGTGTTTTACGCTCGCCGCTTCGTTACTAAAAATGGTAGACACAAGGAGTGAGTTCTGCGTTTTTATTTTTGTTTCATTGTTTATTTTTAATTTAATCGAACGTATTTAGGGTACAATCGTATGAAATGGTAATTCCATCAGATATTCCCTACTCGAAATGAATAAATAGGAAACGCTTCTTTTTCCTTTTTGGCATTTGAGCGAACAGTAAGTAAATCTTTTTTTTGCTTTTGTATTTTCGCCGCTACGTTTTGTAAGTACCGAAATTTTGAGCTTTTAAAATTCATATCTTAAAAGTTCCGTAGGAAAAAAACAATTAACGCGCAATAAATTGTTGATGCGGCATATAAAACGGAAAATCATTCACTTATTCTGCGAAAGAAGTAATTTGAAGCAAATCGTTTGTGAATTATTTTAAGAATGTTTTGTCGGTAAAGTATTCTGCCGCATTCCCATCTATTGATGATTTTTGGCGATATTACTAAATATCGATCTCTAATACATAGGAAAAAGTAATAAAAAAGCAGGAAAAATTTGTTAAATATTAAAGCTACTTACTAACAGGTCCGCAATCGCTAAATGCATCAACATTATATTAATTCTTGATGGAGTTTTTCGACGCCTTCGAAGTATTAGTACTAGCACTGTAATATTTCCGATCGCGGAAAATACCATTAATATACTGTTCCCGATAATTGACAACAAATGTCCGTCATTAAATTGCATGTCAATCGGTAAAATCGGCTCCCCCGATTCCGAACAGTTACTAATGCATGCCAACGGCCAAGGCTCTTTCTCCGGTATCTCCATGATTTATGCTGCTTCTATTTCCAAGTGAAAACTCGACACATCTGGAACAAAATGTTCAAATTAAACGACACGCATATTGTGTTAAAATAAATGAAAGAGCCTTATAGGGTTAAAAGAAGTAATGCGAGTTGATAACGTCAATTATGAACCTCATTAATTAAAAAAATTATTAAATAATTAAAATGGGGGGGTTCAAACGACAATTTGGTTTACGCTTAATACCGGAGAATACCCCCTGAGGTCTTGAGAAGTGTAAGATTTCCCTTCGATATAAATTAAATTAAAATGACCCGTGTGTTAGCCCCCAAACTTCAAAATAATGAAATTTCATGTACTTCCTTCGTTAGGACATTGATTGCACATTTAGACCCACTTTTATTTTTGGTGTGGACATTTCCCTAAAAAAAGATATTGAAAAAACAAAATTAGGGGGGAGGGGAGTGCTTGACTTCACGATTTTAGCCCCCCAATATTAAATTAATTGAACGGGATATACTTCATTCGTTTGCAATTTCTTTGCACATGTAGGCAGAATTCGATTTTTCGGATGCGCATTTTTTTCATTTTCTTCGAATTGAAACACGGGGGAAAATTTGAGTTTCAGCCCCTCAATTTTTAAGGTCCACTATTACTGTAACAGGTTGTGCTCGATGTATATTGGATTGTGCCGGTGAAATATTCGAAAATAGTCTTGTGGTACATGGTAGATCCTGCACTCAGATCTCGGGGCCCAACTTGACTCTTAGCCTCCACGTTTTTTTACAAATACGGAATAAGCCATAATGACAATGGTCGAAGTGCTGTGTTTATCGAGCAGGCGTCGCTTATGTGAAGCCTTTCATTAAGATTTTCCCAGTACTTGTCGTTAAAGGGAGTTTTTCCACCATTAAAGAGCCAATTTTACATCTGTAATTACAACCAACCCAGTGTCGTCCAAATTGATATACAAGTTCAATTAAAGTAGAGAAGTGAAGTTATAGAAACATAATCCGCACATACTAATTTAATCATCATATGGTTATTGATCTGCTCTTAACATGCCTCTTCAGCTACAGTATATCTGTAGACGTAACTACAATGATTTTTGTATTTCGTTTGTCTATAGTAATTTCACTAAGTTTCTTATCAGTGTTAAGGTGAAGAACCTGAAGTAATGGTTCCATGATCGGCTTTCCTTCTTATATTTATATTGAATTCGTAGGCCTGCTATTTTTTCGTTTCAAACTTATCTGTATTGGTTGTTATGAGTTTGAACGTTCACTATCAGAAGAAGCCTGCAAATTCTTCCTTACTTACTTCTATTTCACAGTGTACAACAGTTTATCCGATGTATCTCCTAGTTTAGTAAGACTGTGAAAATTCTTGTAAAGCAACGTTGTATAATACTGCCTAAGATTGCGTGTATTTCACTAAAAGGTGAAATCTCTCCACGTATGATACATATATTATTGCATATTTTCACCATCTTCTTGATGTTTGGAAGCACTTATTTTATTTTAATTTTAATTCAATTTGTTGATCAGCCAAAGCTGTGAATACTTATATGCAAAATTAATAATATAGTTTATTTTGGGTTCTCACATGAGATTTTGTGTATTTTCGATTTGCAACAATTGCGATTAAACCGAATTTATTTATGAATATCTTGCATATTTTGATATTCTTTGCATTTACATAATGGACTTGCATATTTTGCATATTTTAAGATGTATTTAAGTTAGATTTCATCGATATTAATTTGAATTTTTAATACACTTGGTGGATTTTTATAACGGACGCAGTCATGAAACATACTGCAATAGCCGGAAGGGAGATTTATTTATTTAATTGAGGTTTAATTTTATCATTTCCAAACTATTTTATCTTTCTCTTTCTCTACGGTGTTGATGGGTTATATTGTGGAAGGTTTGGAAATTGCTCCCAATAGTTTGTTGCATTTTTTGGGATTTTGGGTCATGGCGTCAAAACTAGCCCCCTGGCGAAGAAGGATTCAACTAAATTAACTATTTTGGCAGATTCTTATTGCCCAACGAATACTCTTTTCAACGATACCAAATTTGTTAAAAAAAGGCAAATGCAAAGGAGCAGTCTTTCACTTTCGTAGGAATTAAAAACGCAATTAGATCTTTTTTCATACAAAATTCCAATCTAAATCAGGACCCTGTCAAAATCTACGGTTAATACGTGCCTTTGGCACATCTTGTTTCTTACCCAACCCTTGTCTTACACGCTTCACTTGTTTGAAATTTTTCTCTACCTTTTTGTTTAGCAACTTTCACACAATTCTATCTTATTTTTTTGCAACACTTCCAAACAAAAATGTTTTAATTAATTAATATGTTTGCGGAAATTGTGTCACAGCGAATGTCTCGATAGGTACATACCTATGGGCCACCTTCTGTTTGCAATTCCTTTATTGAACTTATTGGGAATGATTTACTCCAAATTCATTTAAAATACTATTTGAAGAGCGAGGTAGACTTTTCGCGTTCCCTACAGAACACCTGTCAAGTTCGTATCATGTGAAAAGTATTGACTAACTTTTCAGCCGACTACTGTCACAAACGTTCTATCAAGGAAATTTAATTTTTGACACAGAAGGTTCGTAAAGCTTTGCTTTTCAGTAGGACGTTAATTTGTCGCTGTCTCAGTCCTCCTAAAATGGATAATTTACATTCTCATCAATTAAAATAATGGTGTTAGACGCATCCCTTACCCTCACAACGAAAAGGTTTTAGCAAACTAAAAGTATAAACCTTCGACGGATTCAATTTTCGACCCTTAATAAAGAAAGGTAAAAATGATGCGCTTTGGGAAAAGGTCAGAAGGTTTGGACACACATTGAGATTCTTTCGGTTTTGATTAAAATTGAAATTTTTTGTTGAATTTCTATGAACCCTCATTTCCATGGAATCGAGCATTTCATTACTTATACGAAATTTGTAGGCGAATAGCAAAGCATATGCAATACAGTTGTGCGATATACGAATGAAATGTGTCATTGGCGATCTCTCTGTTTGTATGCTGATGTTATGTGTTACGGACGTTATGGGGAAAGTAATTAATGCGGCGATTATTTTTAACAGATGGCGAATGTGAATAATCGAGGGATGGAAAAACAGTTCTCCCAAAGATTTTTTTTTAAATTCAATTTCTCCTCAGTTTCAGACAGAGCTGGGCAGAATACTTTCAAAAAGTATTTCAATACTAAATAGTAAATACTTTACACAAATCAAAGGTATTTGAATACTAAATACTTTTACGTCCAGCACAAGCGAATACTAGATACAGATACATTGAAAAGTATTCAAATACTTTAAAAAATAAGTATTCAAATACTTTAGAATGTATTCGAATACTTTCAAAAGTATTCTAATACTATCGAGGTATTCGAATACTATAAAAAGTATTCGAAGACTTTGAAAAGTATTCGAATACAGTAAAAAGTATTCAAATACTTGTCACTCAAATACATTAAAAATTTAAAATAATATACTAGATAAAAGTCTCAATACTATACTTAAAAAATCAAGTTATACTTTGTATGGGGTTAGCTTTTTTTATATTTCTATTGTTATATACAAATTTAAGGGGAGTAAAAGCGTATTATTATTATTATATTATTATATAGGAGGTACCTACCAGAACCTTTCTTATACCAGTTATATCCTTAAGAATACGTGTACCAGTTTTCAAAGCGATCGTACGTCGTGCACATGATACGTACGCCTTTCTGAAATTAATCCTAGCGATTTTGGAACAGATCGATTTTTGACTATCCGTTTGTCCGTGTGCATGATAGTTTGTTTAGAAACGTGCGATCGCTTTGAAAATGGGTACACATGGTCTTAAGGATATAAGAAAGGTCCCTATTGTTTTTAAATTACGTAGACTATCGAGTGAAAAAGTTTCACTTCAGGATCGTTCGATATTCAGTTGTATCGGATTTTTATATTTGATTTTGTGACAATGGAAACTTTCCCTAAACATTTCTAAATTGTTCTCAAATATTTGAATAATTTAAAAGTACTGCCTTTTTTTGAGGCCGGAAAAAAAATGTCTGAGATCGACCGGGAAAAAACATTTTCTTATAGAATTTAGCCCGCAGAATCCATAATTTCAAACAGTTTAAAGATTGGGCTACTAGAAGTTACAGCCCTTTGAATTTTTTTTCGAAATTTGTTTTTTGTCCATAACTTTATAATAATAATAATAATAATAATAATCCCTAGATGTCCAATGTACGTGTGTGATTTTTTTTTTTTTTTTTTTTTTTTTTTTTTTTTTTTTTTTTTTTTTTTTAAGGACCCTACATAACTTCACCAGACACAGACACAGACACTAATCGTTACTTGATTTTAATCCGTGCGATTAGTTAACCAGGCTAGACCTGAGTTCTCACAAGAAACACCGACCATAATAATATATATTCAGGCTAACATACATGGAGTACTTACACATCGTCAAAAATATCACAGTCACTTATCTAAACAAATGTTTAGAAGTATCACAGGTAAAATCAAAAGTTAAACATTCTTGATAGCTATAGAAGCATTGGTTACTTAAAAATGTTTTTATTTTATTCTTAAATTCTGTTGTGTCTATGTGTCTTAGGTGCGCAGGGATGCAATTAAAAAATATTTGAGATTGTATTCTAGGACCTTTTTAAGTTTTGCAGAGTCGACCGAAGTTTACTCGTACGTCCTCTTTGTGCCTCGTGTTGTGGTGATGTATTTGAGAGTTTGTTGTAAATGAGTGGAAATTCTTCTTTGCGTAGCACAAACACTCAAGGATGTAGGCACACGGCAGAGTTAATATATTTAGATGTTTGAATGCTTTGCGACAGTCTTCACGGTACCCCAAACCCGCAATTATGCGCACAGCTCTTCTCTGAATTCTAAATACCGCATTGCGTTTCCCTGAATTACCCCACACTATGATTGCATAAGTCATAACACTATGAATATTAGAGCATAATATGCGTTAATTAGCACTTTCTGAGACACATTTTCTGCTAACGTTCGTAGAAGGTAGGTGGCTTTATTCATTCGAGTTACCAAGGTAGAGCAGTGATCACTAAAATTTAACTGGCTATCCACGGTACAACCTAGGAAAGTCACACTTTTGATAGTATTGTCCGTATTCGCGCTTTTTAAGGACATGGTCATGGTTTCAGTTTTATTTACATTTAGGGCTAATTTGTTGGAGTTACACCATTCTTTGATACTATTTATAGCTAGCTGTAGTTGGTCATCAGTTTGTAAGTCTATGTCACCACGAGGGTTTAAGAGTGTGGTATCGTCAGCATATAATATGCAATGAATATTTTCCCTTACATTAAATGGCAAGTCGTTTATATATATTAGGAAGAGCAGAGGCCCTAATATAGATCCTTGGGGCACTCCTGTATCGATGGGTAAGTACTTTGACCTCAGTTGGTTATGTAGAACACATTGCGACCTATTTTGCAAGTATGATTTGATAAGTGAAATACTTGAGGTATTAAACTTATAACATATGCTCAGTTTCTTCAGAAGAATTTCGCTTGAAACGCAGTCAAAAGCTTTCGACAAATCCAGGAAAGCTGCGGACATGGAATCTCCGGATTCAAAAGAGTCGAGCGTTTTGTTAATTAAGAACGTTAGTGCGTCTGTTGTGCTTCTTTTCTTTCGAAACCCATATTGTAAGTTATGAAATAAATTATTGTTTTCAAAATAATCACTGATTTGTCGATAAATAATCTTTTCAATAACTTTTGAAAATACTGGGAGTAAAGAAATTGGCCGATAGTTATCCAATTCTTTTCTATCTCCTTTCTTATGTACAGGGATAACAAGCGCTATCTTCAGTTCGTCTGGGAAAACTCCGGATTTGAGTATGGAATTAGTTACTGTGGTCAGGGGATCGACCAGAACGTTAATATTTCTCTTCACTATTTTAGTACACATTCCATAGACATCTTTAGTATTACTATTCTTAAGTGAAGCAACAATATCTCTTATTTGAATTTGCGTAACGCATTTAAAAGTAAAGCAATCCTGAGACTTAATATTTACTGTCTTAAACATTAAGGGATTGATATCAGTTGCTGGAAGATTTAGTTGAGTACGTTTAGATACGCTGGTAAAATGTGTATTAAAGTCATCTGCAGAAATATCAGTCTTTGTGTCTTTCCGTGAATTTTTGTAGGAATTTATTATGTTCCACATTGCTCTAATAGAGTTTCCGGAATTCCTAATCACTTGATCATTAGCTTGAATTTTAGCTCGCTTTAATTCCTGTCTGTAACTGCATCTCAATTTTTGTAACAGATTCCCCAATTCAGTTGAATTACATTGCATATACATTTGCCTTACCATCTGCATGGAGTCCCTTAGTTGTTTTAAGTGGCTATTAAACCATTTAACTTTATTATCACCGAGCCTCGTTTTTATAGTGCTCTCAGGAAATGACTTCAAAAATGCATTATGAAGTGTATCAAAAAATGACCAGAATTTCATTGCTGGACTAACGAATTCACTTTTTAAAAAGTTCCAGTCGTGGGTGCACAATAAATTGTAAAAGACGTTGAGCCCTCTTAGCGTAAGAGGACGTGATATTATCACTTCATACGATTGTTTATGTAAGTTAGAATCATGGTTAAAATTTATTGACTGGCCTAGATGATCTGAGAGGCCAGTTTGGATAACACTACTAATATGATCATTTATGGCAAAATTAATGAAGATGTTATCAAGACAATATTTACCTCGGGTAGGTGTGAGTATGGTTTGATGAAAGCCATAAGATCCGAACATGTTGCAAACTTCACGAGAATTCGCACAGGTTTCGCCAAAGTGTACATTGAAGTCACCCGCGATTAGAGTACGATGGTGCTCTCAAGGACCAGTTGCAATTGGTCCAAGAAGATATTGATATCACCCTGGGGCGAGCGGTATAAGACCATAACGATGATGTTCATGTTGCATTTAATAGCCGCCACCTCGAAGTGCAGATCAATCGCTAGTTCATTGATATTTTGCATGGGAGTTACGTGAGTATTCTTCTTGCACAGTATAAGCACACCCCCGTGCGTTAATTTGGTTCTTGTATGGGCAGTTGCTACTCTCCATGGACCTATTTGTACAGCTGTAAGTAAATTGGCGTCGGTGATCCAATGTTCACTAATACAGACAAAATCCAGGTTCTTATCGTATAGAAAAGCTTCCAGCTCATTCATTTTGTTTGATAAGCATGGTATGTTTAAGTGAAGGATAGTGAGATTAGCCTGATTTGGATGTAAACAATTTGTGCGTTTGATTGTGCTCACAACGCGTATCATTTCTCCACAGGTGTTCGTTTGGTTTGGTGAAAAAACGGTTGATGCATGTACCTTTTGGCCATAGGGAAGGGTCCATTGCCTTAGGGCGATTTTCGTCGTTAATGGTTACTTTAAACGATGCGTAATACTGAGGATACAAAGATTTCATTTTTTCACATTCCACTTCGGGAAAACTTGGTTTTAGGTAAGATACCACATCCTCTACTTCGGTATCAGGGTGTAATTTATAAACGTGCAAAAAAGATCGTTTTCGTACTTCCGAGACTAAAATGACAACTTCACTCCATTATGACAAGTACTGAAGTGTCACTTTTTGTCCCGCCGGGATTAAATTTGGACGAAAATCCCGGAAGGATGAAATTACTAACAAGGCAATGTCAGTAGGTTGTTCCACATTTTGTTTGCGGCACTACTTCTTAAACGCATCGTACTGCTGCTCATATAGTTTTTTGGATTTCGGTGGTATCAATTCTTTACCTACTTTGGCTGCTCTTTTATCAATATCAAATACACCTCTGTCACCCACCACCAAAATTATGACACTAGCAATGACAGTTTCCAAATTATTTTTGTTACCATAGCATAGGGTTTGTCGTACCAACGCAACGTTCCTATGGTAACTTGTTAAGAAGCGATTTTTTGAAAGAACGCGTTCTCTAACTCCATACATATTAAGTGTTTCAGTTCGGAAGTACGAAAAATATCGTATATACCTTGCGATTGAAGTAGTGGTCTTAATCCCTCAGGTAAATTATGGCCCTCCCTTCGGTCGGGCCATAAACTTTACCTTCGGGATTAAAAGTACTACTTCAGTCCCGCGGTATATAATATACTATTTTGTACTGCCTTTATATTGAGAGGTCTAATCGAAAAAGTACGAATTGTTTTGGATTCTACGCACCAAAATTAATAAGAAAAAGTATTTTCCCGAGAAATTTTGGAGTAGTCGATTTTTGGTAAAAAAGGAAGTATTCGAATACTTCTCAAAGTATTCAAATACCTTGCGAAGTATTCGAATACTAAATATTTGTGAAAGTATTTGAGTTACAAATACAAATACTGGTTCCATAAAAGTATTTAATTACAAAGTATTTGAATACTTTAAAGGATTTGAAATACTAAAAAGTATTTACAAAATCGAATATTGCCCAGCTCTGGTTTCAGAAATGACAGTATTTTCCGTTCCCCTCAGTTTTAAAGTTACATTGAGCAGTCATTCTGAATAATCGCCACTTTAATCATAATAATGTCTTTTATTAGTTATACATCTCACAACAAAATTTAGAACAAAACGAAATAAAAATTTCAATATTTATCGTGTAGCTACTTGGGCGAAGTTCAGATGACAGTAGTGAAACCCACCGCATCTCGTCTTCCACTTAATTATGACCGTAACATATGCATATTGTAACTTAAATTTAATTACATCGTTTATTTATTTACAAATAATTACCTTTATACCTTGCATTGTTAGTCTTGCTTAATTTCTCTAATGCTTTTGATACTATAAACCACCAAATATTACTCAGCATTTTAAGCTACGTGGGCCTTGATAATGAATCTTGTGCTTTATTGGAAATTTTTTTGACGGATATATCGCAACGGGTAGTACTAAATTGTCTACCGTCTGATGCGGTGACACTAACCCCTGGAGTGCCACAAGGTTCAATACTTGGACCGCTGCTGTTCATTCTTTATACTTGCAATTTTGGTCATCTGGTTTCGGAGAATCGAGTACGCGGATGATACTCAGATTCAATTTAATTTTCGTACCGATGATGCAGTAAGCCCCAGTTGCATCACCAAATTTAAGCCTGGCTTAAAGTTAAGTCGAACTTCAAATCTATGGCAACGATTATTAAGACAAACGTTGGTATGGTATTTAAGTTATGCTTAAGAGGTACTTAATTTCGACGGTGCAATTGGCCCTAAATGCTAATATGCGTATACCACCTCTGAGGAGCATGACCTACGTATAAATCCACTGAAGTCATCAACCATTCTTTTTGGAAGAACTAAAGCCAGAAACACTGTGGCTAATAATATTAAGACAACTGTGAAACATGTTGCACTCTCCCCGAGGGTTTGTATAAAAAATTTAGGGTTGAATATTGCTCAAAGAGCTTTTGCTAATCTAAAGACGAAATCTATATTATAATAATAGGCACATCTTTAATAAAAGGACACAAATAATTTTGTGGGTGGCTTTAGTTCTTTCACAATTTAGCTACTGTGGTGTTATACCGGGTGGTGCACGGTAAGTAGGAACATAGGGATTTAACATTGGAAATTACATTTTACAGAAAAAAATTGTAAACTTTAAAGTTGTTCAGAATTAAAAGGTGCATACAAAACTGTTTTTACATGTTTTATTAAGCTTTTGGTATACCTGGAAATTTAAAAATAAATGTATATTGGTAGCAATTCATAAAATAAAAAAAGTCATGGTGGTGTTTACGCGATAAAAACAACATAGTCAAGATCGCTCAAAATAAGATCACGTAGTTGCTGGGGTGCAATTTTAAAAATTGCCGAGGGTTTAATTTATGGCACGAAGGCGCGCGTAATTATCGCCATTTTAGAGGTGCTAAAACTTTGAAAATAGTAGTACGGATTAGTTTAGGCGGAATAGAATGAGGGCGAGGGGTTTTGAGCCGTCGCAGAGGTCATTACGGATAACCAAGATTGAGACATTCGTTTTTGTCCCCGAGAGCGTCAACAGTGTGGTTCAAAATATAATAATTATACTCGGGCATTCCGCGACTTCAACAGTTAGAAAGTTACGTAGTTATGTAATTCGAAATTATGTGCGGAAAGTTTCATATTATGAACGGGTAAATAATTTTACAAATTCACGGAAAAGGACCTAAGGGATTACGCGTGGATAAGTTTTCTTCGTCGAGTACCTCCATCTTAACTTGACAGTAGCAGAAAAAATTAAAGGTGAAAAAGGTTTTAATTAATAAACCCCGTCGCTAAATTAAAAATTAATATACGCGCGTATGAACGAAATATAAATCAAAGTCAAAGTACATTGTGCAGATAGAAGTGGTTCAGCCCAATTCGAATGCGGGCATTAATTTTCGCAAAATCATAAACAATTCATTTGAGACTGCAATAAACTGAGTACGAGACCGATCTTGCAAACGCGCTGTAGGTTCATATCAATTTCATTCTGTTCCAAATAGGCGCCTGCTACCTCAGTGCTGTGTATTCCATCTCCGTATGAGAATGTTTCCATATAATAAACGCGTTCACAGCTGCAATGTCAATCAATTTCATAAACTAGGCAGCTGGCCATCTCTTTGTTTGTCTTTTGCAGGAATACTCGGCGACCAACATACCCAATGTGCCCTTTGTGGCTTTTTTTCAGATATTCAGCATAATAGCAGCGTCTTGATCCTCGGATGATATTAGTATTACAAATTTATTAACTCGTATTAAGGTCATTTTACCCAATGTCCTTCGTTCTTTCCTAGTTTATGTATGATCAAACTTGATATTTGACATAACCCAGTAAGGGACATCGTCAATGAAAATATTGGTCGTTTGAAGCAAGGATTGTACTGCCAAAGCATTAGAAAAGGTCCCGATTACTCTCGATTGCTCCAGCACAGACAAGTTAGCTATCCTATATATGCATATACTTCAGTTTCTTCACTCTGCTATAGAGCTTGAACGAGGTATAGGTATTGCAGGATTTGGACCTGGACGCTTTTTCAATACGTTCATTGTCTGGTTGCTTCAACTTCAATGTGTCGTCTTTACCGAAGGACAGATCTTGGAAATCAACCTCCATCGCCGCCATCATTATATGTGTTGGAAACTTCATCATCCACCTCTTGTATTTCCTTTACATTATCTTCCATCGCCCATTAAAAACTATAATAGGTACTAGCTTTGACGCTTGCTTTAATTCACAATAACGCTCGCTTGTCCAGCATAGAAAAATGCTCACATTTCTTATGAGTATTAGAAAGAACATCGAAAAATGTAATGCAATGTTATCCTTTAACGTCGCCTAATTATACCGTGGTATATAACGCTTTAAAAACTCGATATTCCACTAAACGAAACCGCTCATTGAAATTAAATTGATGGAGCGCCGCGTTTAAACGGAAAGAACCGGAATATTAATTTATATTTTTAACGAAAATCTGACAGTCGAATTTTTTTTCAGTGAATTTCTGCACATTTTTCATGTCATGTCATTCTATACTCTACTTACATTACCTGGCGACCTACTTACATCGAAGTAATTTATTCTTGGAAATTTCTGTTTAACTGCAAGTGTAACGAAACTGTTATACGAAGATACTAGTTACCGTTGTTTTGTAAATTAGTTTTTGAAGTTACTGAGACCTAGATATCTACGATTTTATAGTTACATTACTTGTGTCACACCGAAGACTTTGTTAATACATATCCTTTTTGAATCAATTGGATTACATTGATGTTGTATAGAAATTTAGTTATTTGTGTATCGTAATGTAGTTTTCTTGAATTTAC